AGGGTTTAGAATGCAGATGAAACCTTGCGGACTTTGGACTCAAAGTCCTGCCAGGTTGTTGATGAGAAGCATCACCTTGGTTCGTCTTCAATCCAGCAACGACAACAAGAACGAAGATCGACCAGAACCAGTGCCCTTGACCCAGAACCCCGGCCACTAGACTAACGTTTTGTCTCCCTAAACCCTAAACTAAACCCTAAACCCAAACCCTAAACCCCAACTCCCTAACCCCGAAACCCGCCTCCAAGACGTAAATCCTGCACTTGCAACACCCTGTAACCCTGAGCACCTAGCACCTCAGAGCCACAAACCTCCGAAACCTGAACCGGCCACAGTGTGTTTAGGGTTTTAGGGTTTTAGGGCTTTAGGGTTTTAGGGTTTTAGGGTTCAGGGTTTAGGGTTTAAGGCTTTAGGGGTTTAGGGTTTAGGGCTTTAGGGTTTAGGGTTTACTTGGACCATACAAAACCTACCTTTGCCAAGATAGGGCTTATCCACGAGCTCCAGTGAAGCCAAAGCTGCCCCACCAACGAGGCCGATACTCTTGGCCTCTTCCGGGGCCTCTGCGCGGCTTGAACTACGCAAAGAGTGGCATAACCGCAACCTACCCGAAATCCTAAACATCCAAAGCCCCATAAACCCTGAACCCATTTGGGAGATTCCGAAAATAGGGGGCCCTAATATAGTACCCTAAATAGTAGGATCCTTATTATAAGGACCCCAAAATAGGGTACCCTAATTTTCGGAAACTCCCATTTCTTTACCGGAGCCAACGCTTCATCCCCTACCGTAAGCTGCCGGGCTGAATCTCGGCACATCCCGAACACCGAGCTTTAAATCAAACGGGTATCTGGAAGATCCCTGCGCACAAGCAGCCACACACACAGATCTGTATGCTTACATGTATGTATGTATGTATGTATGTATGTATGTATGTATGTGTGTATATATATATATATATATGTATGTATGTGTGTCTGTATGCATGTACTGTATGCATGCATGCCAGCAAGCAAGCAAGCAAGCAAGCAAGCAAGCATGGATGCAATTATGCATGTGGGTCAACATGTACATCAACACAAAATCTCTCACACCCCGTACGAACGCTGAATATGATTCGGCTGGGTCAGCATGAGCCCGAAAACCAGGTGTCATAGCCCTTGGCCTTGCAAGGGTTTACTTTAGACTTTGGGGTTAGCAAATCACCCTAAACCCTAAACCCTAAAGCCCAAAGCAGCAATCTCAAACGCCCTGCTTCCAAAAAAGGCACCCCAGAGGCCGCTCGCAACTTGTAAACCCTTGAACCCCTAACCAATAGGCTCCTTAGAAATTCCTTTTTGGGGTTACCTTTTAGGATCCAACCACCGCTCGCAACTTCTAAACCCTTCACCCCTACCCATAGGCTCCTTAGTAATCCCTTTTGGGGATTTTAGGATCCTAAAGATAAGCCACCAAGAAGGAACTATGATGGAGCCTATGGATAAACCCAAGACCCCAAGAAAAGCTCATGAATCCAAGATTCTTTCAGCGCCGCTTCCCATGCGGGCCGATCCAGCCTCCAGACCCTGGCGGGAGGGCTGTTTACGTTGATACTTGGTTTCTTGCTATATATCCATATGTATGTATGTATGTATG